AGTTTTCGAACCACTTCCATTTCCTTTATCAATTTTCTTGCTTGAACCCCCAAGTTTAACCACAAGATCATCATTAACGGCTTTTTCCAATTCCAAAACATCCTTTTTCCCTACAAAACCTTTGCAATTAACAAATTTAGAGTTAGAGTTGAGGTGTACCTCTTTGTCGATGTCCTCCACAAACGAGCATTTGCCAACTTTGGGTGGAGCTTCCCGGGCATTGTTCATCGTGAAAGTCGCCATATCTCTATGAGCCAAGATAGTGACTCGCCCGTCCTTGACGTCGATAATTGTGTTGGTTGTCGCCATAAAGGGTCGCCCAAGCAAGATGGTGTGCTCGTTCCCAGTATTTGGGACATCTCCAACGTCAAGGACAATGAAGTCCACCGGCACGACAATCGAACCAACCATGACCAACACATCTTCAATTATGCCCTTTGGCTCCCATAAGGTGCAGTCCGCCAATTGGAGGCTCATTCGAGTCGGTTTGAGCCCTTGTAAACCCAATTTGTTTGTAGATAGAATAGGGCATGAGGTTTATACCAGCACCCAAGTCGAGCATCCCGGTTGTAGTCTTCCCATTCCCGAATGTAATCTTCATGACAAAGGCTCCCGGGTCACATTCTTTCTGAGGTATGGTAGTCGAGGCTACCTCGGAAATAATCACTTTGTCATTATCCCCGAACTTCCTCTTCTTGGAGGCCAAATCCTTAAAAAAATTCACGTATGCCAGGACATTTCGAATAACCTCCAAGAGAGGAAGATTGAAATTTACCTTCGAGAGCATGTCGAAAACATCTTTGAATTGACGCTCCTTCTTTATATCTTGCAAACGGCTCGAGAAAGGAACCGGTGGTCGGTAGGGTGTATTTGCTTTGTGCAAGGCCTCACGGGCATCTTTCTTCGAACTCTCCTTCTCAATTCTCTCATCAACAACGGCTTTCCCTTTCGAATCCTTAACTTTCTCACCCAGCTCATCATCATCCTCATCTACAACAACTTAAACAACCTCATTTTCCTCGGGTACCTCAACACGATTATCAACCTTCTTACCACTTCTCAACACCGTAATAGCATTCAAGTGCTTGGGTTGGCTCGGGAGTTTGTCTTTCATCTTGCCCCTTTGGATTTTCCCTATCGAACTCCCGAGTTGCCCCATTTGAGTCTCGAGGCATTTGAGAGAGGCTTGAATCGAAGGCACTCCCTTGATGGTGTCGTGCAATGTGGAGATGATAGAGGCCAATGATTGAAGACA